GCTCATCTAAGACCAACGAGTCTGGTGGCTTCCTCCGAGCTGTGAGTGGCTGGCCAGGAACAAGTGAGCAGGTGAAGAGTTGAATTTGAACAAGCTGTGCTTTCACTAGGCACATACAGGGGTTCGTACAGGGGTTCCTACAGGGGTTCGTACAGGGGTGCAGGGCCGAGAGGACTATAAGGGACTGGTTAAAACAACTGCTGTGGAGGCAAGAGAGGACATGGGGTAGGGACAGGGAACAGCTGGCAGCACCCGCGGATTGTAGACTATAGTGAGGCTTGAGACTGGTTAGGATCAGTGTCCTGAGGGCAGAGAACCAGAAAAGCAGGCGGTGGTGGCCAGCGGGGTCTGGGACACTGAGAACCGGCAGTGCCCGAAGTTACTGTTAATTGCAGTCACAGGCCTGGTGTGCAGAGTGGAGAGGGAAAGGAGAACACAGGGAGCGAGGAGGTTTGGGATCTGAGAGGCTCGGCCGCTGGCGGGATCGGCCGTGTGACAGGATCGCTGTGTGACAGACAGGGTGAGTTAGCGCTGTAGCACTGTTAAGAGGGCCGGGAAGCAGGGGCTCAAGTCAGTAAGGGATGGCGAGGGGGAGTGGGCAAGCCCAGGAATGGACTCTGACGAGGAGTGGCAAGAGCTGCTGTAATCTTACACACGAGGGTCAAGGTTGGGGGCTTTGGAGCCACACTGCAGAGCTTGAGGGCTGGGAGGTAAAATCAGCCACCTCATGAAGGGGCTGGCAGGCAGGTAATGTCCTCTGAGGGTCTGCATAGAGTAGGTCCACATGCGCTGTCTGTCTCACTTGACTCTTAGCAGCTCTTGGAGTGGGAACCTAAGGTCACTTCGCCACTGGACATTGAGGCCTGGGCAGGTCCGTTACTCACACAGAACACAGATCTGGGGATGTATCCAGATCTTCTGACTCCAAGTCCAGTGTTTCAAACAGCCTGCCTTCCCTCAGAAGGTTCTTCACCCCAATAGATTAAAAAGCACACCGACCTGAAGTTACAATTAAAAAGCATTGTCGGTGACCAGGGCTATAGCACAGTGGTAGAGCGCTCGCCTGGCATGTGTGAGGCCCTAACCTGAAGTCCCAGCCCTGAGGCAGGGAATGAGGAGGAGTTCTTACGGCCGGGGTTACAGTTCCCTTAGTAGAGGGAGGGCTTGCTCACTTTGCATGTACGAAGCCCTGCATAAACCAGATGTGGAGCATGATGGTGCATCTGTACTTGGGAGGTGGAGACAGGAAGATCAGAAGTTCAAGGTCACTCTTAGCCACATAGGGAGGCTAGTCTGAGATATCTTTTTTATTTTGTTTTTTTGTTTTCTTTTGTTTAATCTTATCTCGAGCCTTCAAGACAGACTCAAATAGTGGTCATCCGGCCCATTCTCTGTTGTCTCTCAACCACCTGGATATTCCATGGCTATTTCTGAAGTTCCCAAAGTCCATAAACGGACCCTCACTTTCAAAGATGATTTTTTTCACTTTCATAGAGGATTGGACAACCATTTTTTTAAAGTTCTTTATTTATTGTTTGTTATTTGATTGATTGGAGACAGGGTCTCTCTATGAAGCCTTGGTTGTCTTGGAGGTCACTGTGTAGACCAAGATGGCCTGTGATCCTTCCTGGGCACACTGACCAGGGCCAGTGCCATACAGGGTAGGGATGGTAATGTCTCTAGAAAATGCCACCTGGAACAACAGAATGTGCCCTTCTATTGAACCTCCCCCCCCCCCCCCCGGTTGTATAAGGTGCCATGATGGCCTCTGGTAGACTTTCACAGGATTGCCCCTGCTCCCTCTGTGCTAATGAACCAGGCAGAGATGCCAAGTTGGACAGGCATGAGATCTAGGCATGGTTTCAGGTGCCAGAAGCACCCACTGAACCATTCACAAAGCTGGGTGCCAGAGCCCCAATCTTAAACCTGAGAAATTCTAGGCTGTATATATGAAAAGCTCCCTGGATATGGAAGTTCACACTTATTATAATCCCAGTTCTTAAAAGGCTGAGACAGAGGGATTACAAAATCAAGGCAAGCCTGAGCTACATAGCAACACCCTGTCTCAAAACACAAAACAAAACAAAAATTAGAAAAGCTCACTGGCTGATAGATAGCCCCACTTGAGAAGTACAGGTTGAGGGGCCTTGAGGTGTATCTCAGTGATAGAACACTGGGCAAGGTCCTGTCTCAGTTCATTGTACTGCTATTATAGTAATAGTTAATAATAGCAATTATTGCATGCAAGAAGTACTGGTTAAAGCCAAGTATGGTAGCTCATGCCTGCAATCCCAGCACTTTAGGGCTGAGGCAGGAGGATCACCAGGAGTTTAAGGCTAGCCTGGGCTACAAAATGAAAACAAAATAGAGTGTTAGCACAGTGGTTGTGCCCAACACATGGATACGAGAGCACTGGCATTCCACTTCTGGTCTCCTCCTGGCTCTGAGTGTGGTCAGATGTCTCTCCTGACAGATTCCCTTCTCGACATTATCCTCCAGGAACTTGTGATTATCCTCTGTCTAAGTCAAAAGCTGCTTAATTCCTCTAAAAGCAGTGCCAGTTGGGCACTCCGCCTAGAGAGAGCAGTGGATCTGTGTCAGTGTCTGTGTTCAGCTCAGCCTCCTCGGTGAGCACCTCTCCAGGCTGCTCCACCCCCACTTTCTCCTTCCACAGGGTCTGGGACTCTGTGGGGTGCCTGGGTGCTGATGTCAGACTGGATACAGACTCAGGTGCAGTTGGCCAGTTGAAGTGTGTGTGTCAAGAAGATCCTGATGACTTGAGCGGCAAGCCTGGGGGGCAGGTAGAGGGAACTGGGCATTGGCCCAAAGCTCCAGTCCAAATGAGTTCTTCAGTGATGCCTAGGGGTCCCTCACAAGGAGCCCCTTTAGTAAGGAAGCCTAGTAGTGCTCATATGGAGAAAGACAAAGAAGCCTCCTCTGCATTCACCTGCCCTGATCATCCTCGGATGCTCCCAAAAGCCAACTTCTTACCAGTTGCTTCTTCCTTCAAGCCCCTGTGCTGAGAGCTGGATCTGTGCATGTGACACCTGTAGAGGGTGACTCTGGGACCCTCTCAGGCTCGCTTGTGTCTTCACTGTGCCTGGGTATGACTGCTATGTTGACATGTGGAGACCAGTATTAAAGGCAGTAGGTGCTAAGTTTGGGGATAATGCAGAGAACAAAGCAGGTGAGATCTTTGCTCATGGGGTTGATGTTCTAGAAGAGATAGTAAGCCAATGGGACCAACGGAATGTGCTGCCATGCACACTGACCTAACCCAGGAGAGGTCAGAGACGGCCTCCCAGAAGAGACTCTTGACCTATGATCAAAAGAAGAGCTGGGAGGGCCTTTAAGTTCCCAGGGTAGAAGGAAGCACAGTGTATCAGGGGCTTACCAAAAGAGAAGGAGTGAGACCGAGGAGCCTTGCAGTTTCAGGGCCCATGTCACCAAGGAAGTGAGTGGCCATGCCAAAGATGAGCTGTCACCCCAGTCCCTTGTTTGCTACCCGGGTGTGTATTTTCTGATCATTAACTGAACACGCACACCCTTCCAGAGGCCGTGGCTACTCTATCCCTAATCTACCCTGAGGAGACACAGAGTGAACTGGATTATGAACCTTCTGCCTGGGGCGGGGGCTTGCCTGCTGTCATTATTGTCGCCATCTTAGGACACCACCTGGCCTCCCACGGTCCCTGAGATATTTGATGCAGAACGGAAGTGACAAGGGCAAACTCCAGACCTCTGCAGAGCATGTTCAGTGGGAAGAAGAGGCGGGCGGAGCAGCCCTCTGGTGCCCAGCCTCCTTCCCCCACCTCTTTCCCTCATCGGAGGCGACTCTGCCATGCCCAGTTGGTTGCCGGGAGATTCTTCGGGGGCTGTGTGCTGCGTTTGTCACTCCTACACCGAGTTGCTTTTAAGATGCACAGACTTCTGAATCTTTAAAAGAAAGGACTAGAAAAGAAATCCCAGAGGCAGTTAGTTGGTAGGTCATCTGCCAAGAATGAGGAGAGAGTAGTGACAGGTTTGGGGGGCTTGAGAAGAGGGGGGAAATACAGGAGGGAACTGACCAGAAACAAATGGAAAGACTAAATAAAGGTTGGGAGCAAGCAGGGTCCAGCTGATAAATTTCTCATGGTGCTAGTTGACCCGAGTGTGTGCCTTTCTCCATCAGAGCCCCACCCCCTGGAACAGAGCAGTGGGATTCTGTGGTGGGATGGCACATCCCAGGCATGGCCGACACACAAGGAGGATGCAACGGCTCGGTTCTGGTTTTGTCTGTGAGGCCTGAATGCTGGGACAGACAGTGTCTGAGTTAGGGTTATACTATTGCTCTGTTGAAAATTCCATGACCAAAGCAACTTGCGGAGGAAAGGGATTATTTGGCTTACTACACTTTTATATCACTGCTCATCAATGAAGAAGTCAGGACAGGAACTCAAACAGGGCAGGAACCTGGAGGCAGGAGCTGATGCAGAGGCTATGGAGGAGTGCTGCTTACTGGCTTCTTCCCATGGCTTGCCCAGCCTGCTTTCTTATAGAACTCAGGACACCTGCCCAGGGGTGGGGCCGTGGGCCAGGCCTGCCCCCATCAGTCACTAATGAAAATGCCCTACAGGCTGGCCTACAGCCCAATCTTATGGAGAAATTTTCTCAATTAAGGCTCCTTCTTCTCCAGAGACTCTAGCTTGTGTCAAGTTGACATAAAACTAGCCAGCGGAGACAGTGAAAATTTGTCTAAGGAAGAAGCCAATGGATTGAGTGAGGAGGGCTCTAGGAGCTGGCGGGTTCAGTGAGATCAAACAGTATCATTAATAAGAATAAGGAAGTGACAGAAATAAGCAAATAGGAAGTTCCATAATGAAAATGTGGGGTTTCTAAGCTTAAAACAACTAGGTGTGCCAATTGCACCAAGTCAAGATCCAGGCAAATGGCTTGCTGGGGTAAAGGTGAACCCCATGGTGTGTAGAGGGTGGTGAGCTTCAAGGCCAAGTTTATTTTCATTTTTATTGCATTTTATTTATTGCGTGTATATGTGCAGGTAGGTGTACCTGCACACAGGCATGTGCGCCGCAACACATTGTGTGGAAGGTCGGAGGATAACCTGTAGGAGTCAGTTCTTTCTTTCCACCAGGCAAGTCCCAGGGATCGAACTCAGGGCGTCAGCCTCGGCAGCAAATGCCTTTATCCTCTGAGCCTCTCACCAGTTGAGGCGGAGTTTAATCTTGCATCTGAGCATCACACTTTCTTGGCAGTTGTCAGGGCTGGTTGAAAAGGTAACAGTGCTGTAGGTACCACAATCCCCACTCAAGTCAGGGACTGACTTAGACAGTCTATACAGGCCAGTGGCAAGGACAGGAAGTAGTGCTGGTCCCTTGTAGATGTCGTGAGTTCTGAGCTTCTTTCCCAATTGGCAGATTATCCCTCAGGAAGAGGTGATGTAATTCACAGAGCATTTGTATTCCCTTGGAGAAGCAAGTACTTTGACTGATGGGTCATTTTAGTGTAATTGAAAAGCCAGGGAGAAAAGTTCTGTCTAATGCTTGTGGAGAACACTGTCTGAAATGCCCAGACCTGAAAGAGAGGGGTGTCACAGGTCACTGTGGAAACCCAGGGTGGGGTGGGCAGAAGCTCAAAGAAGCTCAAAAAAGAAGTCCAGATATTTTTCTGAACCCATGCATTCAAGCTCTAGTATATTTTGTTATTCCCATTTTATAGATGACAAAAGCGAGTCCAGAAAGGTAAAGAACTTGTCCAGGTTGTGGGATTTGTAAGTGACAGAACAGGGACCTCAAAGGCCAGCCGTCACCACCATTTCCTGGCATGCGTCTGCAAGGCTCTGCAGAACTCAGGTCAAGTGGATCGCTTCCCTGAAACCCCCACATGCCATGGAGAGGGCAGGGCAGTGGTAGGAGCATGCTGGCAGGTGGGAGCAGCTGCCCCCAGGAAGGCTTCCCAGAGGAGCTGCGCGCTCAGAATGAGTCTCGAAGCTGCAGGAGGCGGCTGCGTGGCACCACCCCTCACAGATCTGAGACACACCTGCTCATAGTCTGCTCACTCTGTGTGCTGCCTGGGCTCACAAAAAAGAAGCTGCTTCCTTCTCCATAAGACTGTTCTTCAGATGCTAATATTTGGATCCTGACAACATGGCGTTCTTACTGTTCTTCAGGGTTTCTTCCTTGCCTTCTTTCTGACAACTGCCAGGAACCAAAGCTGTGCATGGGAGACAGAGTCCTAAAAAAAAAAAGAAAGAACAGATGTTGCCCTTCAGGGACTCCTAATCTCCTGGGAAGGATGAGACAAACTATTTTATGGCTCTCGCTCTTATTCCTAATCTGTGACTTCTATGAAAATCCTCATCAGTGTCCTAGTCAGCACCTGGGACTCAGCCACAGTACGAAGTGGAAAGTGGGGGGGGCGATGGTACTAGGTGGCGGGTGGAAGCCTATATCAGACCTGGAAGTGGGAAGCTTCCCCAGTTCATCCACATTAGCAAGAATGAATAGGACTTGGTCGAGGAAGAACATTCCAGATTCGGGGTGGGTTGAGGGGTAGAGTCTGGAGAGCTGGTAGGGCCAGGAGGCAGTTGTTCCGGGAAGTGTTCAGCTCTGCATCATAGAGAAGGTTAGGGGCGGGGGTAAAGAATAAGATTGAAGGGAAGCCACATTAATGCAGCAGGGAGGCTCATTGGCATGATCCCAGTGAGGGACAGTGTCTAAGGCTAGGGCTCTGAGAGCAAGAGAGAGACTTAAGAGTCTAAAAGGTAAGAGCCAAAGCCTTACTGACCACACAGATGGCAGAAAGGGACAAGGCCTGGGGGACTGTGAGGAGAATGCTAACAGCCACCTAGGGCAGGAATATGAGAGTGAAATTGCTCTGGGACCGCTGGGTTGGAAGTGCCCATGGGCATTCATGTGAAGGCATTTGCTCCTGGAGGGGGGGATGCATTTGGAGCCCAGGAGAGAAGCTCATGAGAGACAGTTTGAGATGTTTCTTACATGGAGGTGGTTGCTATCATAATTGGAGTTGGGGAGCTCACCCAGGGAAAGTATGCATGGAAAAAAGAGAGAGATCTTTATTAATTGCTTTTCTTACTGGGGAGACAAAATGCCTGGCAGAGTCAGTCAACTGAAGGAAAGAGGTTATTTCGACTCACAGATCCAGGGTCCATCACAGTAGGAAAATCATGGAGGCAGGAGCAGGAAGCAGCTGGTCACATCGTGTCCACAGTCAGGAAGCAGAGAGGTGAAGAGAGGCCTTTAACTCACTTTTTTCTTTTCACTAATTCTGGGATTCCAGCCCATGGAATGACGCCACCACAGTTGAGGGAGGTCTTCTCACCTCCGTGATCAAGCTAGAAACTCCTTCACAGACATGTCCAGAATTTGTCTTCTAGGGGATTCCAGATGTTTCCTAGTTGATAGTATTAACCACACAAGTGTGGGTCCCTTAGAAGCACAAAGTTTCTGTTGTAGATGGGCTGAAGCAAAGCCTTCAGAGAGGTCTGAGGGTATCGAGAGAGGAGAGGAGAACCAGAGGGTGCAGAGGAAATGTGGGTCGTCTGTGGTTCCCCAAAGACTGCTTTTCTTTATAGTATCCAACTGCCCAAGGGACTCCATTGTGCCACCCATGCTGCCATGATGTAGAAGGGCACTCACAGACTTTTCTAACCTCGGATTTTTTTTCTATCTTTTTTGTTTCTGTGGTATCAACTGTTGTTTAACCCAGGATGACCTCATGTTCACTGTGTATCTGAGGATCACCTTGTAGACCTGATCCTCCTGCCTCCAACTCCCAAGTTCTGTGATTACAGACGTACACCACCATGCCTGGCTTGGCTTTTCTCTTTAGGGAGGTCTAGGAAAGATGCCCTGGACCCGAGGCCATTTTACAATAACCTAGGGGTTCCTACTGACCACAGAGGTCACTCTTGCTCTCCATCCTGACCTCTGCAATGTTGGATCCCTTCCAAGTTTTGGAGAGTTCTCATGGCCTGAACCACTGTACTTATGGGACACCCAAAGGTGGACATCCTAAGCTGCTAACCTACAGGAGAATTTCAGAGCGATGAGATATTCAGGGGTGCAGCAGAGATCCCACACTTTCTGCCTGGCCCAGCTCTACCTCTGTGACAGTGTTCAGGCTGGCGCCCCTCGCTGCCCTCTGGTGTAGACAGTCTGCTTGCCCACTCTGTCTCGTGATTAGCAGACCTGAACATAATCCAGCCTTTCAAAAACAAGGCGGCACGTGTTTAAAAGCTAACTATTAAAGAAGTACAGAAGAAGTTCCATATGTAGACAAAGGCCATTTTGGGCTTGTTGCCATGGAAAGCCCAGACTCAGTTTGTTTACATGTTTGAGGCCTGATGTGCTCGGTGTCCCCAGTGGTGGAGTTCCTGAAGTATGCCTTATGCATACACTCTCAGGACTCACGTGTAAATGAAGCCTTTGTCTTTACTTGGCGTGGAGATGTTTCAGAGAGCTGACTCACATCTGTCATCTTAGTGCTCCAAAGGCAAAGACTGAGGATCTTTGCAGGCAATCTGGGCTCCAAAGTGGGTTCTGGAGCAGCCTGGCCTGCAGAGCGAGGTGCCACCTAAAATAGATAAAAACAGGTAAACAAACAAAGAGTTTTAAAGACCTGTGCCCTGTTGTGAAACTATAATTTGTGAAATTCATATACTGCTATATATATGATTTTAATAGTTGGGATAAATAATGCATTCCAAACAACTGGCATTGGAAGCTTGTTCTTCCAAGATGCAGAGAGGCATAAATTTTATTTAGTTTAAAAAATCAGGGAAACTGAACCTACTGAATAGAAAACTCAGGCAGGAGCAGCTGGGCGTGTTCCTTGTGTATTAGAGGGTCTGGAGTAGAGGACAGAGGTACCAACTAAAGGCCACCCAGCTTCTGGAAGTAAAACCAGTCTGCTACATTCTGATAATGCACGATAATCTCGAAGGTTCTGCAGCATACACTTGCATTTGAATCTTAGCATGATTTCGACTTAGGAATAACTAGCAACATTGGTCAGCTTGCACAGCAGAGAAAGCTTGTCTGCACCAAGTCTCACGCTAGGACACGGCGGAGCTGGACTTAGCCCTCTACTTTTCACTCCTGGCCTGACTGAGGCCTCTGCACAGCAGCAAGTCTGTGGCCTTATCACTCATCTCCCCAGAGGGCCCGCCTCCACACACAGTGGCTTCGAAAGCAACGTCTAAGATGGTGCCTAGTGAAGAGAAGCAGTTCCAGCCAGATTCAGAGGATCCAAGCAGCTGCCATCAGCCCCGAGAGCAGGCTCCAAAGGCAGGGCTGGGTGGAAAGGGGATGTTCCCCCATTCTGCACCCCGAGAACAGGGACACCTCCTGTGTCAGAGGACTCCAATGCTGGTGCCATCCAGGCCTCCTAAGCTGCCTGGAAGAAGTTAATGGCTGGCCCAGGAAGGTTGGGGTGAGGTAGCAGCCCATTGAGCCATGGGGCAGGTATTTCTACAAGACACTACTTTTACATACTTCTCTCCCAGCAGGCTGAGGGACAGCAGGAAACTATTTTAGTAGCTTTTCAACCCTCAAGGCATTTCTAAACTCAAATAAAATATAGGGAGAAGTTAATTCCTTTGCCCAGCTGTTCCCCCTAATTCAAGGCTAGATGGCAGGTCTGTGTCTGATGCAATAACATGAGACCTCCAGGCCCCTCCTGGGATGCCTTGGTGCCCCTCTCCTTATGGATGAATCTGTTCTTCCTCTAGACCATGGCATACCTCTGGTCCAGAGATAAAACGATAGCTAGGTAGCTACACGCACTAGCAGTCCTTCTGGGCTGACTATAAATCTGATCTTTGCCTAGATGGAGCAGAAACAAAATATGTTGCTTCCTCCTCATGGGAGGAACTGGCATTTTTTTAACAAGGAAGGGGGAAGAGGGGGGCTCTCCTGGCCTTTTTGAACTGGCCTCTTAGAGAGGGAAATGAATAACATCCTGATTGGCCTCCATGGAGTAGAAGTGAGGGGAAGCAGCTGGGGTGGGGTGGGGGCTGGACCAGGCTCTGGCCTAGGAATCTCTTCACCCACAGATGTCAGACTTGGCACACAGTGAGGCCAATGGGCCAAGGGGAAATCATAACCAGGTTCACATAGTGGACTGGGCATTTTTCACACTTACTAATGAAGTGAGCTTTTTATGAGGCCCCTCAACTGGCTTGTGCAGTGTTAAAGCTGGGGTTAGCAAGGTCTCCCCTCTAAGCAAGGAGGCTTGGGAGGGAGGGAATAGAGATGACAAGAGCCTTGGCTCGCCCTGTGTGGGTGCACAGACACCCTACCCTCCTATCCGAGGCCGATACAGAAGCACAAGGCTGGACGTTCCCTAGCTTACCTAAAGAGAATGTTCATTCAGGTCTACAAAACTTGGGTTAAGATTCAACACTGAGGCTGGATGGGACCAAGGGGACAGGCCCATAGCATGCTGCTGGAGGGAGGCTCACTGAATGTCAACTGGGTAACTAAGCCAGTGTGATGGACCCAGGTCTGCTTTCAAGACAAACGTGCCTGTCCTGATCTGTCACAGGCCATGTCCCATCCCCAGCCTGGGCCTCAAGTGTCTTGTTGTAAGAGTACTGAGAACCAGCTAGACTCTATAAAAGACCAACAGCTAGTAAATGCTTTAGGAGAAGACAGGCTATGGTGGGATAAGCCGGGACCTTCCAGCTTTAGTATGTACTGGTTGTCCTGGAGGTATTTGTAGTTTTTTGAAGACAGGGTCTCATGTAGCCCAGGTTGGCCTCAAAATCACCACATAGCCAAGGATGACCATGGACTTGTGATCCTCCTGCCTCTACCCCCCAAGTGCTAGGATTACATGTTTGTGCCACCACACCCAGTTTATGTGGTGCTGGGACTTAAACCACAGGACTTGGTGCATGTAGGCAAGCACCCCCCTAAGCTACATGCCCAGGCTCTGTCCAGATCTTATGAGATGCAATTCATGTGCAGGAAACCTGGGTAGGATCTGAAGTGGTTCTCCCCTCCCCAACACCAAGGTTTTTGTGAACCTAGGATCTCACTTTGTAGCCCAGGCTGGCCTCAAACACGTGATCGTCCTGCATTTCTGCTTCTTACTGCTAGAATTACAGATAATCGCCTCTATGTCTGCCTTGAAATTTGTCTAACCAACTGCCACGCACCACAGCTCCCTCCGCAGAGGCCGGACCACACGCTGAGTAGTAACAGAGTACGGCCCAAGACCGGGTTTCTCCAAGCTAGGCCCTGCCTCACCCTAAGCGTCCCTGAGCTCCCCTAGGCATGAGGTGAGAACCGGTGGCAGTTTCCTTGTCCCTCTCCCCTGGGTGCTGTGAGAACTAAGGGCATACAGGCCTGGGAAAGTTCTCTGTGAAGGTCACAGCTTTGAGGGTGCAGCAGAGTATTGTTGTCATTGTTACGGCTTCCATGCCTCACTGCTCACCCCGTGTGTTCCTGAAGCTTCTCAACTTTTCCCTACACCCTCCCTGGCTTCCATGCCCGGATAGCTGAGTCAGCGTGACCAGCCAGAAAGCTTTGACATGTCGAGACAGGAAATGACAGTTCCCAGGCACTGGCTGGTTTCAGGTGTGGAAGAGCCTGGGACACAGCTTATGTGATCAGTTCAAGAAATCCCGGGCTGAGCCCCACGCCACGCCCATAGGTGACGAGATCAAGAGGTGAGGCTTTTGGAGAAGTCCCTGTAAGACAAGGGTCCCCAGCAAGTACGTGTCAGTCATCAGTCTACCCAGTGAGCCAACTTCTGCCCACCCCAAGTGGCTACTGGGAGCCTCGCAGGTGGTCCCGGAACCTTGGTATGCTCTTCTGTGAAATGGAGTCAGCGGCAGGGTCTGTCTGTGGAGGAAGCTGCTGTAGTCCCATAGTCCAGGTGAAGTCATTATGTGAAAGTGTGAGGTGTTCTGAGCAGCACCAGCTCCAGGGCCCCTCCCCACTCTGCCCCCCACTCTGCCCCAGTCACCCTAACCCCAGGAACTCCCCTCTATGCAAACAGCACGGCCTGTGGCTGCCCTGCACGGGCCCCGACACCACCCCTCTGCAGTCTCAGAGGCAAGGAGCTGCCCTTCTGTACTGCGCTCCATGTGTGAAGAGCAGACCAGACCAGACTTCCTCCAAGCCCTCCGCCACTCAGTCTGCTTCCCTTGTTGTTTGCTTGCTTGTGTGTTCCGAAGTAGGCTCTTTGGCCAAGACTAGCCTCCAACTCTCAAATTCCGTCTGTAACCAAGGGTGACCTTGGATGCTTGGTCCTCCCACTCTGCATCCCAGGTGCCACCAAGCCCTGTTTCTGAAGGGCCAGGGATCAGTCTCAAGGCTTCACTCGTGCTAGGCAAGCACTTTACCAGCTAAATGGCATCCTTCGCCCTAGGTGTGCTTCTGTTTACTCAGAGTAGGTAAGCGCGTTGATGGGTTCCCGTGGCAAACGTGGGGGAAAGCTGACCCCACTACAGACAGAAATGGTGCTGGTTTGTAGTCCTAAGTATGTGAGAGGCTGAGGCAGGAGGTTCACTTGAGCCCAGCAGTTCCAAAGCCAGCCTGAGCAACAGACCAGTTTTGTTTGTTTTTTTGAGACAGGGTCTCTCTCTACATAGTCCTGGATGTCGTGGAACTCACTTTGTAGAGCATATTGGCCTCGAACTCATAGAGATCCATCTGCTGGGATCAAAGGCATGCGCCAGCACACCTAGCTGAGAACAGGATTTTGTAAAGCCTGTGTTATAGGTAGGTAACTGTTCCGAGTAGTGTAGTCAGCAGTCCACTGTAGTACCTTCAGCAGCACAGATACCTTCCCCTCCCTGCAGGACAGGTTCCTTTCTTCTTTCACAAGCATTGCCACAAGCTCCCAGGAGCAGACAGCCTTCCCTCCGATGCGAGAGCCACTTTGCCCATGGTCCCTCCCAGGCCTTTGAAACCCATTCAGGTCAGGCAGCATCCGGGCCCTGCAAAGCCAGGCCTGCAGACAACCTCAGCCTGCTGAGGAAACAGCGACGCCTCAGCTGAGGAACTGGGTTCTCGGAGAAGAGGGTCAAGCATCCAATATGCTCCCAAAGACAAGCCACTTGTGTCTGTGGATATTGGTTTCATACCTGAAGAAGTCATAAACACTGATTTTTTTTTTCCTTACATTTGATTTATGGTGGGGGGTGGATGCCACTGTATGCTTATATTAGAGGTCAGAGATCAACTATGGTACCTTATGGGCCCCAGGCATTAAACTCAGGTTATCAGGCTTAGCAGCAAGCTCCTTAACCTGCTGAGCCATCTTGCCGGCCCAGCACTGATGACTTTTGAAACATCTTTGTTGAGTAATGGAAACAAGGCTTCTTGGCCCCAAGTTTGACCTTGGAGTTCTCAGCTGAGCACTGCACATTGGCTTTGCTGTGGAGGACAGAAATCCCACCCCCACTGCCCAGCTGAAAGTGCCACCTTCGAACTCAGGAATAGAGGGCTAGGGGGTTGGTTCAGTGGAGACACTTGCTGCAGAAGAGGAAATAACCCCCCTCTTGGGCGCTGCGGCTGTGTGTCAAAAACAAATTTTGTGTTTTAGTGGGAATGCTCCAGTCTGACCCAAACTGAATCTGATCACAAATCTCATTGGGGAAAGTACAGGCTTTGGCACTGGGAGATCCCAGAGTCAGAGAATCCTGACCATACCCTCACATTATCTTCTGCCTCCCTCTGCCTCTGTTCTTTGGTCTATAAATTGGAAGTTATAACATCAACCAGAATTGTAGGGGTCCTTTGAATGAGATATGTCTACATAAAGCAGCTACCCGTGTCTGTCCCACACTGGCTCCGCAAATGTTCTTTCTTCTCCTTTCTTGATATCCCTCTGATCCCAGACCTCACTCTTGGCAATACGGACTGTCCTAGAAAAACCAGCTTGGGCGCTTGCTATCTATCCTGAGAATACAGTTCTGTGAAGTTTCCCCTCCATGGAGTTGCTAGATTCCCGAATCTGTGTAGCAGAGCACTCCAAGCCTCGATGTAGGAACCTGGGCCACGGTGGATACTGGCCCTCCAGCTCAGCAGCAGACCAGAGCATACCCAAGGGAATGGTGCCTTTGCGATCTAGCTACAGTGGTCGTTGCTTCCGGCCTGGGAAAAAGCCAGCAGCTGCCTGGTTTGGAGAGCTCTCCTGTTCTCTGCAGCCCAGGGCTGTCTGAGTGTAGAGCCAGGGGGAGCTGTCTATCGGGGCTGTAGTGATGACTGGTCTCCGACCCACAGGCAGACCACAGGGGTTCTGCCTGGTGACCTAGCGATGTATAAAGGGTCCAGACATTCCTGGCCGGTCATCGAAGAAGGTTTCCTTGGTAGCTGGGCCCTGTTTATCCAGAGGATTGGACCAGGGGAACACAAGTAGAGGACTTCTCGAATAGATCCCTTCTAGACTTGTTCTTCTGGCCCTTTCTGACTGGCATATGAATTTGTACAGAGATAGAACAGTTTCTGCCATTTTTCAATGCAAGTTGGTTCACATTCCTGACACACTTTAAAGAGAAATAATGTGTGTACACAGGGGTGAGTCAACATTGCGTGCAGCCAGCCGTGGCCACTGGGAGAAGAGTCAGCCTCGGAGCTTCGAGCTCACCTGCCTCCCACGGAGTCGAGCGCTGTGCAGGACTGCCAGGGCGGCGCCTTAGCAGGTCCAGGCCCTCCCTCACATGCTTCAGCAGCCTCCGACCCGGCCTCTATGCTGTTCTCAAGCCATTTTTCTCTTCAACCATTTTCTCCCTGCTTACAGAAACGACAGGAACTACATGTAAAATGGCAGAAAATAAATAGCAGACGTGTCTCCTACAACCCAGCTTACCCAGAGGCAATCCTGTTTAACATTTGTCCTAAGTTTTTATTATTTGTTAATTCGATCTGTTTCTAATCGTGTGTGTGTGTGTGTGTGTGTGTATGTGTGCGTGCGCGTGCGCGCATTAAAGGTGCTCTCAGAAGGCAAAAGAGGGCATTAGACCCCCTGAAACTGGAGTTACAGACAGTTATGAACCATCACGTAGGTGCTGGGAATTGAACCTGTGTCCTCTAGAAAAGCAGCCAGTGCTCATAACCCCTGAGCCATCTCTCCAGCCCTGGTCCCAAGTTCTTTGCAATGTTTTTCCACAACTATGTACTTTTGTCTTGAGTATTAATTAACATAAGATAAAGGATTCCCAGGGCACAGGGTGAGCATAGCTCAGTCGTAGGGTGCACAGATGAGGCCCTATGTTCAAATCCCCAGCACCCACAAAAAAAATCTTCCCTTTTAAGATCATTTCTTCATGACGGTCTGATAACCCACCGCAGAGTGATAACTTATCATAGACTTCACACACACCTTCTTGAAAGGCTGTTAGAATGGCAGTGAGAATCTTTATTCGTGAAGGATTTTTGGCTTCCTGATCAGTTCCTTGAGTACATTCCCAGAAGGGGCAGTCTCAGCTCCAAGCTTGGACATAGCTTTAGTCTTAATACACATCGCCAAATCCCCCTTAGGAACTCTTCCCCGTGATAGCCTTGTGAGCGTGGTCTGCCTCAGTCCATCCTTGTTCACTGTTTTAAAATGTCGGGAGCTGTGGGCGCAGTGGTGCCGACTCAATCCTAGCCCTCAGGAGCCAGAGACAGGTGGGTCTCTGTGAGGTTGAGGCCACAGGGCCTGCCTTGATTCCCGCCCGGCCATCTAGGACTGCAGTGAGACACATCTCAAAAAAGGAGTTAATGAGTGGGAATTCCTCTCCCACCCTCGGGTGTGGGAGAGGTAACCTTCAGTTGAGCCTCTTTACCTGCCCTCTGGAGCCCTAGGAGATATCCTCAGTGAAGTGGGGTACACATGCCCACCCTTGTGCTCTGATTCCCCATCCAAGGCTTTTGCTGTGCACCTCACACATCCTCAGCAAATCATTCCCAGGCCAGAGGCTGATGTGGCCGCTGCCTGCCTTGATAATGTCCCTCGAACTGTTCTCACCTGAGGGCCCCCATACTCCCTGTCCCTCCTCAGCTTTCCAGAGTGCTCCCCCAACGCAGCCACTCACAGAGCCATGACGTCGTTTTCTATATGGGCCCTGTACCCATTTTACAAGCTACTTGTCCAAACACAGTATCATAACAAGTTTAGTTACAGGTTTAATTGATGTCCCAGGACAGCCAGGGCTAGGCAAAAAAATCCTGTCTCAAAAAACAACAACAAAAACAAGTTTAATTGACTTTTGCTTGCAATTTATGAAGGGAGGCATCTCCTTTTTACAGATGGGAACAATAACCCCCTCCCCCTGAGGGGGGGTGTCACAACAGAGGATTTTGTGAGGTGGGGCAAGGAAACAGCCGGTGGGGGAGCCAGTTGGTGACCATCGGGCTACTAAAGGTTCCTTTATTTTCCTTCAAGGATTAAAAGATTGTTTTTTCAAGGTCCTATGGATTATTGCACTGACTGATTATAGACTGGAGTGTCCTGTTTTCAGGAAAAGCTCGTCTGTTTTGAGACCTGTGCACTTCCTTACAGTCAGTTTAATCAGTGCCGTTTCTCACGAGTGACTCCATTTGATTTGCTCTGGTCTCTTGAGGGCCGAATGCAAGGTCTCAGTCCAAAACAATGGCCTCCAACCGTTTTGCTTTCTTCATTCTTATGCTAGCTGAACTGTCATTCACATCAGCTCTTTAGTTCCAGAAGCAGGTATGTGTCTGAGTTCAAGACCAGCCTGGTTGACCTAGTAAGTTCCAAACCAAGCAGGGCTGCATAGTGAAACCCTGTCTCAAGAACAGAACAGAACAAACAAAACAAAACCACACAAGAAATGTATCCTCTTCCGTTTCTAGAAGCCAGAAGTTTAAAATCAGTGTATCTGCAGGGTCATGTTCCTTCCCAAGTCCCAGAGGAGAACTCTCCCTTGCCTCTTCTAGCTTCTGGGGTCTGCCGGTGTCCTCTGTCTCTGTCTCTATGGTCACCCTCCCTCCATATCTGTGACTTCCCTCTTTCTCTTACGATGACAACAGCCCTAAATCCAGTGTGATCTTGAGACCCTTCCTTACACCTGTTTCTTGTTAATTCTGTGGGTCAGAGGGTCTGTCTGTCGGGGTGTCAGGGTGTGTGTGTGTGTGTGTGTGTGTGTGTGTGTGTGTGTGTGTGTAAGTGTAAGCAGTTACAAGCTGCAGCACACTTGTCAGAGGACAACCTCGGCTCTCAGCCCTCACTTGCTATCCTGTTGGAGATTGGGCCTTTCATAGTTTGCTGCTGCATAAGCCAGACTACCTGACCCATGAGCTTTCTGCCATTTTCCTGTCTCCAGCTCCTTTTTCTTGCTCTAGGAGTGCTGGGATTACAAAGGCATGCAACTTTATATGTGGGTTCTGGGAACCCAAACCAAGCTCAGATCTTTACGTTTGTGTGGCAAGTGTTTTGCCCACCAAGCCCTCTCCCTGGCACAAAGACTATTTCTAAATAAGGTCACATTGGGAGTCTGCAACCGGACGTGTGTTTGGGAAGGTGAATGTGGGACACTGGAGGTTACCAAATCACTCGCCACTGGGGAAATGACTTCCCTCAGGTCACAAAGTGAGAAAGTAACAAGAACTGCCATTTGAACCTGGGTCTTCTGCTTATCGTGTGCCTTTAATTTGTTAAAAAACAAGACTGCTGTGCTGCTGCTGCTTGGTTGTGTTATCTGTTTGTAGGAAATGAGATTTGGTAGCTATTACCCTAAGTTAGCTCAGACATCATCTCACCGATGCTCCGTTGGCGTATTATTGACAGTGACATTGACGCCATTAGTGCCGATGGGAATCCCTTAGGTGGGAGTCACTCCCTTACACTTGATATGGTGACACCCACAGGGACAGATGGCCTTGCCTAGAGTAACAAGGAAAGTGGCGGGGAGCGTTCTGGTTATAACGTCTTGATTCATAACCTGTATTCTAACTTTTAACACGTGCATTGTCATCGATGTGGCACATTATAAAAGTAGCCTCAGTGTCCTAGTGACCACTTTGTATTAAATCACCACGAAATGCTTAGTGCCCCCATCACTGTTCAGCAATGCCCTGTTAATGTCCCGTTGTTTAATTCAGCCCCACCCCATATATTGACCATCCATGGCAGGCTGGTCCATGAGTCCCTGACCAGCAACTTGTCCTCTCTCACAGTGGTTCTAAGGGCCTTTGGAAAACAGGAAGACGTCACCATCACACCTGGCAGTCAGTGTCTCTTGGCAGTCAGTATTAGCTCGGGTGTTTCTTTACCATGCTGGTAGTTTGTTTGTTTGTTTGCCTTTCTCTTTTCTTAGTTCACTTCCAAAGCTGGAAGAGCAGATCTTTTCAAAACAACCTAATGGCCATAGCCCAAGCCCCACAGCCAAGTGTCTGCATATGGAACTAACATGGTTTGCTGATTGTCATAAATCACTAAATAATCTGAGTGGAAATAGATGTATGTTATACATACATGCATATGTGTCGTAACGGATAGCTGGAGTCGGGGCCCCTTTGCTATGTAGCACATCTGTCTGTGGGTGTGGATTGTACAGTCATCTGTCATGTAATGAATGGGTAGGTTCTGAAAAATGTATCTATCATCTGGTGATTTGTTGTATGACCACCCTAAGCCTACTTGTACAAATCAAAATAGCACATACAAGTTACTCACTTGATGTTGTCTTACACACACACACACTTTTTTTTTTTTTGATCTGGCAGGATTTTGCTATGTAGTCCAGACAGGCCTGGAACTCACAGTGATCCTCTGGTTTCAACCTCTCAAGTACAGGGATTACAGCCATGCAGCTCTGATGTCTCTTGGAATTAAGAGATACAGTAAACACAAGCTATGGAGTCTGCTGCATGCAGAACCCAGCATGGTTTTACAGTTAACTTTTTTTAATAAGTAAAAGGAATATGCTCTCTGAAGTGGCAATGATACATAAAGTAGTAACAGCATTCATTATCACTACCAAGTATTATACTGCACGTAATTGTGAGTACTGTTTTTAACAATTTACCCCCTTGCTGCATCTTGATTGTACATGGTACTGGGTTACATAAGGACATTTTTATACATGTATATAATATACTTTGAGCATGTCCCTCCCAGCCTTCTTTTTGTTCTTTTGAGACAGGGTCTATTCTATAACCTTGATTGGTCAACAAGTCATAGTAATCCTCCTGCTTCAGCCTCCTGAGTGCTGGTACTATAGGCATGAGCTTCCATGCCCTGCTTGCACCATACTTCTGTGTGACTGAAAGCATAATGGATGTGTTTTTGCTGACATCCAAATAGACCTGTACATGATGCATTGCACTGTGAGGATTGTTGTGATATCACTTGATGATGAATTGTGCAGTTCCATTAACTCATGGACCACCACCTTTCTTTTTCTTTTCTTTTCTTTCTTTCTTTCTTTTTTTTTTTTTTTGAGACAGGGTTTTGCTGTGTTGTTTTGGTGCTTGTTCTGGTGCTTGTTCTGGATCTCACTCTGTAGACCAGTCTGGCCTCAAACTCACAGAGATCCACCTGGCTCTGCCTCCCGAGTGTTGGGATTAAAGGCGTGTGCCACCACCACAGCCTGTGGACCACCATCTTCTATGTAGACCAAAACATTGTTGTGCAGCATGTGAATGGAGTTCTTTTGGGAACCAACCTAAAGAATTAAGAGGAAAAGATGAAATCATCGTATCCTCTCACCCTACCTACCCTTCTAACATGAGTCAATTTATTATAAATAACGTTGTAGGTGGAGTTTTTCATCAGGACCACTGGTCAGGTCTGTCCTGCCAGCTGCTCCCAAATAACCACACAGAGATTTAATATTATAAATGCTTGGCCAATAGCTTAGACTTGTTACTAACTAGCTCCTACAACTTGAATTAACCCATATTTCTTATCTATGCTTTACCACATGGAGGTATCTTTTTTCATCATGGCATGTTCATCTTGCTTCTCTCCACATCTCCTGGTGACTCCACCTTCTACCCTGTGCTCTCTTTTTGTCTGCAAGTCCCACCTAACCTCCGCCTGTCCAGCTATTGGCCAGTCAGCTCTTTCATTAACCAATGAGAATAATACATATTTACAGTGTACAAAGATTGTTCCACAGTATAACATACTACTGACATGTTAAACACGCTTGAGATAGCTGGGTAGTGGTGGCACATGCCTTTAATCCCAGCACTCAGGAGGCAGAGCCAGACGGATCTCTGTGAGTTCAAGGCCAGCTGGTCTATAGACGAGATCCAGGACAGGAACCAAACTACACAGAGAAACCCTGTCTCGAAAAATAAAATACACACACGCACGCACGCACGCACGCACGCACGCACGCACGCACACACCCACGCAGCGTGTGTGCGCGCGCTTGGAGATGCAACTCAGCTAGTAACCAACATAGCTAGTAATCAAGGTTCTCTGGAGAAATAGAACCAGTGGGAGTTTATGTATATAGGCAGACAGACAGACAGACAGACAGAGACTTATTATGGGGATTAATTTATAATTATGGAACCTGAGGAGTCCCATTGTTACCTGAGGAAGTCTGCAAGTCCAGAGGCCTAGGACCAGGAACACCAAGTTCTAAGGGCAGGAGAAGACACTATCTCTGCCTAGGACCAGGAACGCCAAGTTCTAAGGGCAGGAGAAGACAGTACCCCAGCTCAGAGAGAGCAAATGTTCTCATCTTCCACTTTGCATTAGAGTCAGGTCCTTGGTGGGACAGTGCCCATACACATTGGTGAGGGAGGGGCATCTTGCTCCCATCTCGCAGAAACGATGAGAAATGCTTCACAGGTACTGGGCATCCTTTAGCCTGGTCAGGTTAACGCGTTAAACTGACGGTGTGCCAGAGAAAGCGAATGTCCTCAGCTGTGCTCCTGATGGCCAGCCCCAGGGTGGAGAGGGGAGTGCTGCCCACAGGGCCTCAGCTCAGGTAGGGAAGTCTGGTGAGTGGGGCAAGGAGATGCCTGTGGCTTCCTGGCTAGGCCGTAGTTGTCATGGCGTCTTTATTACAGTGAACTCACCTGGAAGGGCTCATGTCTCGAAGAGCACTGTTTATTCCAGATTCTGCGTTTGGTGTGTGGCTTTTCTCTCTGGTGGCTAGAACCTTTCCATAGGAGGTTTGCAACAAACTTCAACCCTGGATGAATCGAATTGACACAAATAACAAGAGTGTGGTTAGTTACAATTGGCAAAAAGAAGCATCTCACCGGCCCCACTCACTTCTACCCAGGGCCTCCTGGCCCCTTTGAGGATAGTACACAAAGGCAGAACACGAGCTCCGCACCGGTCCCCAAGGTGCCAGCGCTCCAGATGCCACAGCATACCTTTTAGTGAGTCTGTGAAACCCAAGAACCCGGGAGGAGTGACTTGCACAGGATGCCAAGCTAGGAATCAGGATTCGGGAAGCCCACCTGCAGGACAAGGCCCCACGGGCTTGTGTCACATCCCGGAATCATCTGCTCTGAGTGCACCGAAAGCCGCAGAGTGAGATGCTGTCCATTTCTGCTCACTTGCCTACCATCTATGCTTTCCTCCTCCTTTTTAATCTTACTTCTGTTTTCTGCCTCTCCTAGATGGTCAGGCCATGGCACTCAGTCCAGAGGCTGTTGACTGAAGTCGCTGTCACCTTCCTCAGGTGACCATGACCAGTCAGTCAGTTCCCGAGTCTGTTGGAACGAGCATGGCCAGTGGAGTTCTTTAACTCTAGAGGAATCCAAGTCCTCAGGAACTTCCAAACTACCCAGAAGGGCCAAGATTGTGAACAGGATGGAGATGGGGATGATCTGTAGGGTCCCCATATTAACCTGAGACCCTGTGCTTCAGTCCATCCCTAAAAACTCTGAAATTGCCTGTACAGTTTTCTGTATGTAAACATACTACTTTTTTCCCAGTGCTGGAGACTAAACCCTTATGTAGGGCCCTATATACTTCATATTTGTTAGGTAGGCCTTTTACTACTGAGCCACACCCAGCCCTATAGGTACATATCTTTCGATGTGTGTGTGTGTGTGTGTGTGTGTGTGTGTGTGTGTGTGTGTGTGTGTGTGTTCGTTCAGAATTGAATGAAAAGCTGCAGGCAAACTGGGAAGACACCTTGCTGCGGAGCTGTACCCTCAGACCCAGTCACACATTTTTATTGATAAACTCATACTTTCTCCAACTCCACTGCAAAAGATAAAGTCCCCGTCTACACTGTCAGAGTCCGGGAGTCTGATTATTGCCCCTCTGGTAGTTTCCTCTAGCAGATCAGACTTGAACTCAACCTTAGAGAATGAGATCTAGAGAATTAATAAGGTAGGAGACAGCTCTAGAGGGAAAAGTTCCCAAAAGAAGACCAGTTAACACCAGTCACCGTTTGCCTCTCTAGCGCAGGAGATGGGGGTAGCTGCTGCTCCCCAGAGCGCCTTTCCCCCTCACGCTCTTTCCTCGTTCCTCAGAAGAAGGCTTGACTGCTATCAGAGTGGACACTGATCAGTATTTGATGAATGGGTGAGTCAGACGGAACAGAGGCATGAGAGGGCCCTGTAAACACCTTCAGCAGCAGGCCCTGGTTGCAAATAGCTGCTCTAGGTGAGCATTCTCTGGCCCCATGAAACAGTCCTGTCTCCATAAGGGGACATAAACATCCCCTGTCCAAGGGATTGTCTCTGGGCCAGTCCAATGAAGGACAGCTGTTCCGTCAACACTGACAAGATTGGCAGTCTCCTGAGTGCCGGAAGTGACCTCATCCTCCGAGGGCTTAGCTTCTTCACCCAGCACCTGCTGATCCCCTGTTCCTGCTGCTCTGCTCTCACTCCAGGCAAGGGCTGCCCAGGAAAGGGGATCAGCACCTCCTCAGGGCCTCTGCTTAGCAGGGTGAGGAGGGAGGGGGTTACCTCTCCGCATCCCCGGGCAGCAGAGAGGAGCAAGGGCTCCTTGGCTAATCACTCTTGGTTCTCCCATGGCCTGCCCACGGCATCTTAGCTGCACGCATGCTCGGAGACTAGAGCTGTTGGTTTGTGTTCTCCTGAGTGCCACCAGGTAGACAGGGTGAGTCATCACCATGACTACCATACTAGAAGGAATGTGGGCTGGTTTCAGGGTGGGCAGGCTTTTGAAAGGCATTGCTTGAAGGTGACAGGCATTCTCCAAACCCATTAGGGAAGACAGAGGTGGTTTTTACATATTCCTGTTCTCCACAGCAGGTGCCACTAAAGGAAGCACCATGGGAGCTGACGAGGTGAGCTCCACACTGATAATTAAGATGTGTCATTTACAGGCCCCGGCTCTGTCACTTAAGCTGTCCATGCTTCAACTCCCCTGTACGTAAGGCCATACCTGTACTACCATTCAGGAGCATTGTGATGGCCGAAATGAATGGTGCCGCCTGCAGCGGCAAAAGGGTGTGCTTACTGGGCATTACTGCCATCATCAAGACAGTTGTTGTCATTATTATTGCTTGCAGTGCTGGGGCTCACACCCAGGGCCTCCTGCATCCTATGCAGAGACTCTCCCACTGAGCCATACCCCCTGGATTAACATGTCCACAAGCACACCTGTTACGTGCAGAGCACTCACGTGTCAGGAGCTTTCTCTTATCTAGCTCAGCCCCCACAGCGGCTCTGAGGTTACATGAGTTCTGGTAGGTGAGGAATCTGAGGCTCCTGCCCTGAGTTAGGCAGGACTCAGGTCAGACTCTCTGTGTGTGTGTGTGTGTGTGTGTGTGTGTGTGTGTGTGTGTGTGTGTGTGTGTGTTAGCCGAGGTCGGTCTCCAGTCTCCACTCCTAACACCCACTCATGATTCTTTTCTCCTGTACTTTGTCCCTTCATATAGTATGTACTAACTGGCATGTTGACCTATGTCTATAATCTCAACCCATAGGAGGCAGAGGCAGGAAGGCTGCCAGTGCGAGTCCAGCCTGGGTTACATAGTAAGAGCCTGTCTCAAAACCAAGACCGGAAAAAGTACATAGTCCCCTGGTGCTCCCATCTGTGGGCTGGGTCCTCCTCCCAAAGCCTTCTTGTTCTTTGGTCCATCTCTTCCCCAAACCCCTCTTGCGATAGCCTTTTTCGGATGGTTTTTCTTTCTCCCTGACTTGGCCTCAGCCCTCTTGTTCATTTGTCCACCCCCGAGTTCCGTCGCCTGGCTCTCCAGACCCCCATCCTAATCTTGTCCAATGGAGGGCAGCTCCCTGTGCTGAGGTTCCGCCTGATAAACTGATGGGAAGGACCACAATCTCAAGGCAGGCTCCTTCCCGGGGAGGTGCCTCTGTAGATGCTGTCCACTCTCCCTGTGCCAGGAATCGGCTTCACAATTAGGTGAGAAATAAATCAAAGCCAAAGTTGCCTGATGAAATTCAGGAGCCGGCAGTGACCCTTGCCACACATCTAAATCCCAGCCGGCCAGCCAGGGGCCTTTGTCTGGTCAGAGAGTTCAGGATTATCGGGCCCACTTTGCTGATGTATGGAGGCACCGGCTGTCGGAGTGTTTACTACGGTTATCACCTCCATGCTGGGCCCTTATCACAGGCAGGGCCGCCCGCCGGGGCCGGGGCTCGCACCCTCTCTATTACCGCCTGTCAGTGGCCACGAGTGTGCACTGACACTACCCAGTCCTGCCCACCGAGGAAAGATAGTTCCTGACGGCTGATCAAAGAGGAGAAACAAGACCTGATAAAGAGTGTGCGTTTCATGTACTTTCAACTTCGGGGAAACATCGGCATTTGCATTTTTTCCTGGTCCCCCTGGAGCTGGCAGGAACCAAGCCCAATAAAAGTAGTGGATTCAGTTACCTAATCGAGAGGGAAATGGTATGTGCTTAAAGCAACAGACCATGACCATAATCTCTTTCCAAGAGAGACCGGATGAAATAAGCTTTCTCAGTGAACTTGCCGAGAATAAAGTCGAATCTCTTGAATTCAGACTTTGAAGTGATCTTGCGCGTAACATCTAATCCTGGCATTCAGCGGAACGCAGTGTACTTTCTGGAACTCGGGAGCAGGTTTGGATTAAGGAAGGATCCTAGCTGAAGATGTTATCACCCAGCTGTGTCGCTCACATCCCTGAAACGGTACCCCGCACATGCCCGCATCCCTGGCGGCTGGGAGACGATCTGCAGTGAGGTAGAACCAGTTCCAGACCGAGGCATCAGCACATCTGAGTCCTGGCACCAAGGCTCTCACAGCCTGCTGTTCACTCTGAGCCCCTGACCTCGCTAAGCCGTAACTGTAAATGAGGCTGGGTGTAGGTTATAGTACACAGTGACTTAGCACGCGTTTTGTTTTTGTTTAGACTACGTACCCCTCCCCCGTTAATCTTTGTGGTGGTGGTGTGTACGTGCACTTACATGTATGCCAGCATGTGTATGGAGGTCAGAGGAGACTCTCGAGTGTCAGTAGTCACCTTGCTTGGGTCTCTTTGTTGTTCACCGCTGTGTGTGCCAGGCTAGCCCACCCACCAGCTTCTAGGGATTCTCCTGTCTCTGTCTCTCATCTCACCATAGGAACCCTGGGATTATGGATGCTCCCACTACACTCCGCACCCAGCTTTCCTTGGGTTCTGGAGATCCAAACTTGGGTCATCATGCATGTGTTCAAGGACTTAAGTCACGGAGCCATCTCCCCAGGCTGCCTTTTAATTTAGACAGTGTCTCATGTAGTCCAGGCTGGCCTCAAACTCACCCTGTAGCTGAGGATGACCTTGGACTGCTGATCCTCCTGCCTCTACCTCCCAAGTGGTGGGATCACAGGCATGTACTACCAGGTTTCTCAGTTTGGTGCTGGGGATTGTGCCCAGTCTCGTGGGCCAGGAAAGCATTCCATCAAATGAGCAACATCCGTCACCTGTAGCCACTCCTGAGGTTGTAGGTGGAGAGTGATTATGTCAGGGAATGGCAGAGTTGTCTGGGGTGAACCTGGGAAGGGGTTCCTTCCCTCTGCCCTAGCTCTCAGAAGTCTCTGAAGACCAGAGGCACCCCATCACCTCTCAGAGACCATTTTAACTCCAGGTGCTTCAGCGATTGTAGCTGTCATTCGTGGAAGTGTTCTCTGGCCCAGTGAGCTACTGTCCTCAGCCTCACACATTCCCTTTCCTAGATGACCCACCCTTCATCCTTCTGGCTGAAAGACTAACGTGGCTCTGGGCATGACAGGCCATGGGTGGCGAGTAGACAGAGAACAGCCTGCCCTCTGAAGGCATGGACTCAACTTCTTATGTCCCGTCTGCGTCACAGGTACCTTTGACCGGAGCGTGACCCTGCTGGAAGTGTGTGGGAGCTGGCCTGAGGGCTTCGGGCTGCGGCACATGTCGTCCGTGGAGCACACAGAGGAAGGCCTCCGGGAACGGCTCGCAGACGCCATGGCCGAGTCACCAAGCCGAGATGTCGTAGGATCCGGAACAGGTAAAGGCGTCAGCAGACTTCTAACCTTGGTT